TCACAGCATCCAGAGCTGATTGCTGCCACTCTATCCTAACCTGCTCTTCCCACCAGGTGTGCCACAGCATGATTTAGAAGCATCCCCAAACCGGTTTGGCGCTCTGCTTTGCTAAAAATGTGCTTCAAGTGTAGACTTTTCAGACGCCATATCAAGCAGCACAGAGCAGATGAGACGAGCAGAAAGTCCGACATGCAAATGATAATAGAATCTGATTAATTTCCAAAATAAAACACTAGCCTAAAACACTACAACATAAATAAACACGATTAACACGGAAAAATAAACCGTTAGATCTTCTGTAAATGTAATTCTACAAAAATGCCTATTCCAACTGAGGAAAAAGTTAGCACACCCTAGCCCCTAATAGCTAGTGTTACCTCCTTTGGCTGAAATAACTGCAGTGAGACGGTTCTTGTAGCCATCTAATAGTCTCTGACATCGGTCTGAGGGAATTTTATCCCACTCCTCAATGCAGAATTGTTTCAGCTGTGAGATGTTTGAGGGGTTTCTTGCATGTACAGCCCTTTTCAAGTCACCCCACAGCATCTCAATGGGATTCAGGTCTGGACTTTGACTCTGCCATTCCAGGACTCTCCATTTCTTCTTTTTCAGCCAGTCTTTGGTTGATTTACTAGTATGTTTTGGGTCATTGTCATGTTGCATGGTCCAGTTCCGCTTCAGCTTTAATTTTCTAACCGATGGTCTCACATGTTCTTCAAGCACCTTCTGATACACAGTAGAATTCATGGTGGATTCTATGATGGTGAGCTGACCAGGTCCTGCTGCAGCAAAGCAGCCCCAAACCATGACACTTCCACCTCCATGCTTCACAGTTGGTATGAGGTTCTTTTCCTGGAATGCTGTGTTTGGTTTACGCCAAACATGTCCTCTGCTCTGGTGTCCAAATAATTCAATTTTGGACTCATCTGTCCAACGAACATTATTCCAGAAGTCCTGGTCTTTGTCAACATTCTCTCTGGCAAATGTCAGTCTGGCCTTGATGTTTCTCTTAGAGAGCAAAGGTTTCCTCCTTGCACGCCTCCCATGCAAGTTAAACTTGTGCAGTCTCTTTCTGATTGTAGAGGCATGCACTTCTACATCAACAGTAGCCAGAGCCTGCTGTAGGTCTCGAGATGACATTTTAGGGTTTTTGGAGACCTCTTTTAGCATCTTGCGGTCTGCTCTTGGGGTGAACTTGCTGGGGCGATCAGACCTGGGCATGTTGGCAGTTGTTTTGAAAGCCCTCCACTTGTAGACTATCTTCCGGACAGTGGAATGGCTGATTTCAAAATCTTTTGAGATCTTTTTAAATCCTTTACCAGACTCATAGGCTGCTACAATGTTTTTTCTGAAGGCCTCTGACAGCTCTTTTGCTCTCACCATGGTGCTCACTCTCACTTCAACAGTCAGGAGCACACCAAACTAAATGTTTGAGGTTTAGATGGGGCAAGCCTCATTCAAAATGCTGAGTAACGATCTACTAATTATGTGCACCTGGTGTGATATACCTGTGTGTGATTTGAGCCATTTTAAGAGGGCATACATGTGAGGGTGTGCTATCTTTTTCCTCAGTTAGAATAGGCATTTTTGTAGAATTACATTTACAGAAGATCTTAAAGACTTTTCTTCAGTTTTACTTGTTTAGTTGTATTACTTTAATCTCTCTGTATTGTTAAAATTGAGATTAAATAACCATATATTAAAACATGTTACAAAATACACATGCTTTCAAAGGGTGTCCTAATTTTTTCACATGACTGTACCTATCCTACTTACGTGATAAAAGCCATAAACTTCCACAGAAATCTGGATGCAGGAAAAGTCTGATGGCAAAACGCTGCGCTTCACCTTCCACGTCTGCTTCCTCTCGGTAGGGTATGCTGCTTTGGGGACAACTAAACATGCTTTGCAATTGTGTTGTCACAAAGCCACGGCTAGTGGAAAACGGGGTAGAGGTTACAGCTGGATTTACATCTTGGCAGACACTTCAGTGAAACTATGGTCATACTGGTGGTGATATTAGAAGTTAGTCACAATGCTCTCAACTCATCTGCTTCTGTGGCTGTTTAGAGAACGACGTGAGGCAGAACACAAGTTAGAAGAACTGAAGAAGAGCCGCAGCATTGCACTGGGTCGTCAGGGAGGTTTTGAGGAGGAGATACTCCAATACAGGTGAGATATACAGATACATTGTAACATTTACACAGTACAGAGCTGAACCAAATTTGGCTGAGATGTTCATTATTATATTCATCTTGTGTCTGAGGTACATTGTTGGGGTCTCTAATACCTATAGTGATGAGAAAATACATTTCCCCAACAATTTAACATTTTCATCACATACAGTGCCTTGCGAAAGTATTCGGCCCCCTTGAACTTTGCGACCTTTTGCCACATTTCAGGCTTCAAACATAAAGATATAAAACTGTAATTTTTTGTGAAGAATCAACAAGTGGGACACAATCATGAAGTGGAACGAAATTTATTGGATATGTCAAACTTTTTTAACAAATAAAAAACTGAAAAATTGGGCGTGCAAAATTATTCAGCCCCCTTAAGTTAATACTTTGTAGCGCCACCTTTTGCTGCGATTACAGCTGTAAGTCACTTGGGGTATGTCTCTATCAGTTTTGCACATCGAGAGACGGAAATTTTTGCCCATTCCTCCTTGCAAAACAGCTCGAGCTCAGTGAGGTTGGATAGAGAGCGTTTGTGAACAGCAGTTTTCAGTTCTTTCCACAGATTCTCAATTGGATTCAGGTCTGGACTTTGACTTGGCCATTCTAACACCTGGATATGTTTATTTGTGAACCATTCCATTGTAGATTTTGCTTTATGTTTTGAATCATTGTCTTGTTGGAAGACAAATCTCCGTCCCAGTCTCAGGTCTTTTGCAGACTCCATCAGGTTTCCTTCCAGAATAGTCCTGTATTTGGCTCCATCCATCTTCCCATCAATTTTAACCACCTTCCCTGTCCCTGCTGAAGAAAAGCAGGCCCAAACCATGATGCTGCCACCAACATGTTTGACAGTGGGGATGGTGTGTTCAGGGTGATGAGCTGTGTTGCTTTTACGCCAAACATAACGTTTTGCATTGTTGCCAAAAAGTTCAATTTTGGTTTCATCTGACCAGAGCACCTTCTTCCACATGTTTGGTGTGTCTCCCAGGTGGCTTGTGGCAAACTTTAAACGACACTTTTTATGGATATCTTTAAGAAATGGCTTTCTTCTTGCCACTCTTCCATAAAGGCCAGATTTGTGCAGTATACGACTGATTGTTGTCCTATGGACAGAGTCTCCCACCTCAGCTGTAGATCGCTGCAGTTCATCCAGAGTGATCATGGGCCTCTTGGCTGCATCTCTGATCAGTCTTCTCCTTGTATGAGCTGAAAGTTTAGAGGGACGGCCAGGTCTTGGTAGATTTGCAGTGGTCTGATACTCCTTCCATTTCAATATTATCGCTTGCACAGTGCTCCTTGGGATGTTTAAAGCTTGGGAAATCTTTTTGTATCCAAATCCGGCTTTAGATGTGCAAAACTGATAGAGACATACCCCAAGTGACTTACAGCTGTAATCGCAGCAAAAGGTGGCGCTACAAAGTATTAACTTAAGGGGGCTGAATAATTTTGCACGCCCAATTTTTCAGTTTTTTATTTGTTAAAAAAGTTTGAAATATCCAATAAATTTCGTTCCACTTCATGATTGTGTCCCACTTGTTGTTGATTCTTCACAAAAAATTACAGTTTTATATCTTTATGTTTGAAGCCTGAAATGTGGCAAAAGGTCGCAAAGTTCAAGGGGGGCCGAATACTTTCGCAAGGCACTGTAATGATTAAGAAACAGGGGTATCTCTTTCACTGCTGTGTGCATTCCTTTTGCTACTTGAGCATACCACATTTTTTCATTCATTTCATTAAGAAGTTACTCTTTGAATTGCAGAAAAGAGCTGCGAGAAGATCAGTATGACAAAGCTGATGAGCGCTACAGAAACAAGATGATCATAATGAGGACCACAGAGCTGGTCATTAAAGATCTGGATCTCTACTACAAGGCCCTTGATCAGTAAGTGTAGCCCCAACATGTACACACACACACACACACACACTTATGGTAGGTATTAACCACAATATTTTTCATTCCATACAAATGATGATCACTTGAATGATGATCAGTTGTCTGGCATAACAAATCGGTTGCGTTAGTGGAGAGGATGGTTCTAGTAGGAGGAAATCTGAGAGACATTATTAAGCCTGGGATAATATGTACAGACAGTGAGACAGACTGAAACCGAACTGAAAGAATGATTTCATGTAAAAGTGCAGAGGAACATGACCTATATTTGCAGTTGTACTTAGCAGTATGGCAATATGGTGATATCTTAAAAGCACAGAAAATACTGCTCCTTATCATTTTGCACTTGGATCCATTATGTAGACATACACTATGTTCTGTTGTATTAGAGTGGTATTTTCAGTAATGTGGGCTTTAAAAAGGAAGGCATAGAGTCTCTGACTTAATAAATTGAGATAGTTCTCCAGTATTTCTGGAAGCAAGAAGATAAGAAACATCATTTTTTTAATACAAAAGTGCTGAATGACTTTTTTTTTTAATGGCAAAGGATATTTGTCTTGGTTGGAATGGTTATTCACATAAGGAGCTCCATTAGTTCACTCCGATGCATTTGAAATGTACAAATATGGTAAACACTGTTGAATAATAGTTTATATAGATTATGAGAAGAAACATGGCACTAACACACACCAGCAATGTAGCATTTTTAACAGATCAGTTACCTGTATGCACTGTAAATGGCACCATTTTGAATCCTGCAACTACAACTTTGAATAAAGTCACAACATTTAATCAGCTCTGCAAGACGCCTACATTTGGCCGGCTAATGACGAGCAGTTTCAAGTTATCAGACTTTGATCCTCAAAATTAGGTCACCAAAGCCACTACAAAGTTGGTTGGTTGTTGGCTCAACATCCGCTGCATGATGTTGGGGAAACCAAGCTTGTACAGTGATGTCAGTCCTGTTGTCACTCTTCCAGGTAATGACACCGGCATTGAAGGGTTCAGTGGTTAAATATTTGACTATTACTAATAAGAGCAGAGTGGTGTTGCAGTAGGTAATGCCCCTTTCACAGCTAGTAGGGTCGGTTGTTGAACTCCTAGCTCTTTGGGACCATATCATATAATTTCTTTCAACATATCACCTTAACACACTTAGTGTAGACTTACTGTATTTGGGGCAGTGAAGCACCTGATTCTGTTAATGTGTGAAGCTAATGTCATCTCATTACTTGATGCTAACAAATCTCTGCTTGACGTTCAGTTTCATTTCAAGACATAGTGATGTCACTTATCATTCAGTCTGTCATTATTACCTTAACCGTCCAACTTTGCAGCTGCCGCTGATAAATAAAATGCTATTGCCAGTGCTGATATAAACATTTCATACAGCAATCTGCTTTTATTTTATTTTCTTTGGATATATGAATAATTCCGAACAGATTGTCTCATTAAGGATGAAAGCGAGCCTCAGTAAGGAAGTGTTAGCTCACATTCTCAGATACCATCTAAGAAAAGAGCAGAAACATCATTTATTCATGTGTGGTTTAGTCAAGGCATCAGCATTTGCACTGTTATCAAGATTAAAAGCAGGCTTTAGCAGTCTCACAGCAGACCAGGCATCCAGGTCATGGTTTCTGTCTGAATACACAGATGATTGTTTCATGGTAAGATGTTTTGATTTGAAGGGGAAAATTTCAAATGAAACTTCCTCTGTCATTCATTCTGCAACAGATTGACGTGTGCATGTTTTGTCAAAACCCTGAAGACAATGATGTGACTGTAACATACAGTATATATAGTCAAGTTCATAAATATTGGAACAATGATACCTGTTTTGGCATTTGGCCTCTGTATACCACCACACTGAATTTGAAACGAAATACACCAGATGTTAAGGAAGTCAAGGGGTTTGACAAAAGTGTGGCATTAACCATTCAGGAAATACAGCCATTTTCACACACCCATTGGCTCATAAGTAATGGAACAAACTGACATAATTAGAAACATAAGGATTGTCTTTAATACTTGGATGAAAATCCTTTGCAGCCAGTGAACCCATGGACGTGACCAAATGCTGGGTTTCCTCCCTCAAGATGCTTTGCCAGGCATTTACTGCAACTACCTTCAGCTGCTGCTTGTTTGTTTGTTTGCCTTCAGTAAGTGAAAAGCATGCTTTATTGGGCTGAGATCAGGTGACTGACTGGGCCAGAGAAGAATAGTCAATTTCTTTGCTTTGAGAAACTCTTGGGTAGCTTTCGTTGTATGCTTTGAGACATTATCCATCTGCAGTATGAAGTGGCATCCTGTCAGTTTTGCAGCATTTGGCTGAATCTGAGCAGAGAGTATAACCCTTTCAGAATTCACCCTGCTACTTTTATCAGCAGCCAGTTCATCAACAAACACCAGTGAGCCAGCTCCACTGGCAGGCATTCATGCCCATGCCATAACACCATGTTTGACAGGTGATGCGGTATGATTTTGATCATGAGTGGTTCATTTCCGATTCAGTGTGGTGTTGTACAGAGCCCAAATGCCAAAGAACGTATAATTGTTCCAATATTTATGAACTTGACTTTACATTATTAGTATCTTGCATAGAGTTGAATACGTCCACACACACACACACACACCCTCACATCCACAAACCAGTGTTAAATCTTCCTATGTTTTGCTTCTTTTGTAAATGTCCTGCATTTATTGTTTTCTTTACTCGACCATCCTGTTAACATGCTGTTTTATGTTGTCATTTAAAAAAAAAGTTCAGTATTCACGAACAAAACAACCTATAAAGTCCAAGAGACGAAAATCGGTTTTATTGATCTCATCAGCAGTATATTGTATCTTAAACCTAACTGCTGAGTCAGCAGTTATTTAGGTAGATTACATTGTGACAAATTGGTGAATAAGAGCTCCTTCTATCTTTTCTTCCGTTCGTCATGGTTTTTCTGATAATTCACCATATGTGGGCTTTGGAAGAAACACTTTGGGGTATTCTGTTATCGTTATGGTGTTTTCAAACCACAGAGTTGCTAGAATATAGATAAAATGTTTCTTGGTATTCAGGAAAAGAATGTTAAGTTGAACTGGTGTTATGTTAGCTTTGTCATGTGCTCTATCAATATTAGATTGATATGGTAAAAAAAACAAATTGCTGTTGTTACATTTTGCAACCAAATGATCAGAATATGACTTTGCCATTCGAAGTCTGCAGCAGTAAATTTGTTTAACCGCATTAAGCTTTGTGATGGCTATCTTTGTTAGTTTGTGTTATCTGCCATTTTTTTCTGTATGCTTGCACACTGCTGTGTGGTCTTCACGAACCAACCGAGAGTTTAATCTACCATGTGCTCTAATCCGGCCTCATGTTCTGTCTCTGTGTTCTCCTTTTCATCTGTGACACCCAGCATGAATACTGGTTTGTATCCTGTTGTTTCCCTGCACATTTTTTACTGTATTGCACCAGGCCACATGAAGGTCAACCAGATTTTTCTTTTATACAACATGCCATTCATTCAAAGCACATGTAGCCGTTGTGAACTTTTGAAAAAGTAACGACAGACAGAAGATGGCCAGTGTGGTGTGACTTATCTACTGTTACAATATTTTATACTGTGTGCAATTTGATATTTATAACTCTAGTAAATATTTAGTTTGTAAAAAAAAAAAAAAAAAAAAAAAAAAGTTGTTATTGTGTTTTTATTTTTCACAGAACAATCATGAAATTCCACAGCATGAAAATGGATGAGATCAACAAGATTATCAGAGACCTGTGGCGGAGCACCTACAGGGGTCAAGGTGAATCTCACTTTTAAAAAATTTTTGTCATCTGTCAGTGTGTCACCACTTTCTCCTGCCTGCTTTCCAGACATTGAGTATGTGGAGATCAGGTCTGATATGGATGAGAATGCATCTGCGGGAGCAAGGCGTAGGGTTTACAACTACAGAGTAGTTATGGTGAAAGGAGACACAGCTCTGGATATGAGAGGACGCTGCAGTGCTGGTCAGAAGGTACTAGAGAAGTGTTTTGTTGTATGTGTGTATCACAAGAGGCAGTTAATTGCATTCATATAATAACATTACAATATTTTCCACTGAATTATGATGTAAGCAAATGGTGTACAAATCAGCAGTCCATATGTTTGTTTTTTTTTCTTTTGAGTAATTTATTCTAGTTTTTGTCCCAAATGTGTCTGTGTGTCTAGGTGTTGGCATCCCTGATCATCCGTCTCGCTCTGGCAGAGACCTTCTGCCTAAACTGTGGGATCCTGGCCCTGGATGAGCCCACCACCAACCTGGACCGGGAGAACATTGAGTCACTGGCACACGCCCTTGTAGAGTCAGTATACAGTATAAACACACTATACTTGTGAGGACCAACACTGACACGATGACCTGATCCCTAGCTTTATTTGAAACCTAACCCTAATTGAAGCCTTAAAACCAAGTCTTCATGTTCAAACAGACAGTTGAAGAAGTGAGGATCACCTTAAATAATAGGTCTGAAACTCTGGGTAGAAGGGTAGTAGGGTAAAAGTCCAGAAATACAGACACAGTGACTTGTGCAACCTGCTGGCTCTGTGTCCCCAGCCCTTCTTTGGACTGGCTAAAGCTCTGCACCAACAATGTGCAAAAGGATGCTTTGACATGGACATGTTACTATAGATCAGGCGTACTGAAATGGCAGACTCCAATCTAGATCCAGACCCAAAGAGGTTTCCATCCGGATGGTGAAGTGTGTGAGCATGAGCCATAATAATTTTGTGTACTTTCTGTGCTATTTTTGCTCTCCCTCCCCAGAATCATTAAGAGTCGCTCTCGCCAGCGTAACTTCCAGCTGCTGATCATCACCCACGATGAGGACTTCGTGGAGCTGCTGGGGCGCTCCAGCTACATTGAGCACTTCTATCGCATCCGTAAGAACCAGGACCAGAACTCTGAAATCGCAAAGTGCAGCATCAGCTCCCTCTCCTCCTATGTCCACTGAGCAGACAACTGACTATTTAAATCCTGGAAATACACAGTAAACCTTGATATTTAGGTTGGGCAAAGTTCATGCTCAGTTCATTGAGTTCAAAAGAAGTTCAAATGTCTTCAGGGTTTCTGGGGCATAAAGAAAATTACTTTCTAGTCAGTCCTTGTGTTACTAGCTGGAAAGTTAGATGCTCTGCACGCTACTTAAGCTATGCACGCCAAAGAGTCAAATACCCATAATTCAAAATAGAATATTTCAATTTGCAATGCATTCATCAGTTCAACAAGGGCAAATTCTGTACCATGTTTTTCTCCATCCAGCTGGAAAACGTTTCAAGGAACTCTCTGGAAGCGTACTGTGTTTCTAATACTCCTTTGAAAGTCACAGCTCAGTAACTCAGACTTCATCATCACATCCTGTATGTCACCTAGAAAGTAGTAGGTGAGGTGCCTTTGAAAAACCCATACATTCAGAGGTCATAAAAACACAGAATCTAGGGCAGACTGGGTGATCTGATTAACTCTGATGTGTGTGTAATTCTGTTTATAGATATTAAATATTTAAAATGTCTTAATTGTTCTTGAAGTGTTTAATGGATCAGGATGGTTTTATATTTTCATGTGAACTACATGGATGCCTTCAGTCTTTACAAAGTGTCCATGGCTATCACATGACCGGCAGCGGCAACAGAAGAACCTGTGGTGTAACATTATGGATTACAGTTGTATTTTTCATCTATGTGAAGGACATGGAATGTCATATACTGTAAGACTCTTTAATTGGAGTGAAGGTTTTTTTTTTTTTTATTCTTTTAAGTTCAGAGAAACACGGCAACGTTTTGGTGAAGTTGCTCATCAACCACCAAATCTTATCATCTTATTTCCCTGCATTTTGTTTGTGTGTGTGTGTGGGTGAGTGTGTGTGTGTAATGAGGGGAAATGCCTAGAAAAGGCGTGGCAAAGCAAATGGCAAATATAAATTGTTCTAAGTCAAGGTCTCAGTGAGGTGCAACTTGGCAACTGAAAGATCAGTTTAAAGGCTTCTTGAAAAAGCGTCATCCAGACATTGACGACCAACGAACAACTGTTGTGAAGATGACTGTGCTTCTGCTGGGATCCACTGTGGCACTGCTGCTACTCTCAGCTGTTGCCTCTCCTGTTCGTAACACCTCTCCCTCATATGACAATAACCTAAACCTAAACCATATAATTGATCTGGTTGGAGAATACAATGGATCTCTGAGAAGGGTAAGCATAACTATTTTCTTGCTTGTTAAATTGTTTTTGCAGCAGTTTCTTGGTGCATAATCCTGTTAACAATGGAAAAAAATAAGCGTTTCCATTATGTGCTGCAGGAAATCGTGCAGGATGTGCGTCCTCTGGTTGAAGCTGGATGAGAACCTTCTGTTTTTGTTTTTTTTCTCATTTTTAATTTTTGCTCATAGGTCAGATGCTGTGATGTTTGGCAAAACGCCTAGTACTAGTTTGATTGATTTATATTTATGTTAGTCTTGTATCAGGAACAAAACAAGGTAACTTAAGAAGCTAAATTACAGTGAATATTGTCTAATAAATTTTTTTAATGTGCTGTTTTTTTTCTTATGTCCATACAGGATGTGTTCTACTGCAAAGTGCATGATATCCTGAAGAACTATGTCAACGTCAGCCTGACTGTGAGGAAGACTGTGGGGAATTTGAAGATATTTATCAAACACCAAAAAAAAGTGCATGATATCCTGAAGAACTATGGCAAGTTCAACGAGACTGTGAGGAATTTGAATATGTTTATCAAACACAAAAACGTAAGCATAACCTTTGACAGCCCACTTTTCAAATCAGAAAGGTTAAATCTATGTTACAAAGGTCTAAAGTGGAAAAAGATATAGGCTGAAAGCTGGTGTGCTCACCCCTGTTTTTTTTCCTCTTTCAGGCAAAGTGTCCAGACTTGCTTAAAGATGTGGAACTAACAGATTTCTATGAACTCACTTTCTTGTTCAAACATCTCACCACTTGCATCCAGAAGAGAAACTTCAGCATGGAAGCTGGTGTGCTCACCCCTGTTTTTTTTTTGTCCAGTGTCCAGACTTGCTGTCCAGACATGTGAAACCAACAGAATTCCCTGCACTCACTGTCTTGTTCGAACATCTCATCACTTGCATCCGGAATAGAAACTTCAGCAGGGGCAACAAAAGCAAACAGTGAATCCTCCCAGACCTGTGACCATCAGACATTCTCTAAAGCTTGACATTGACAATGAGACAGAAAATTAGCGGTACTATAAAATCTAACAAATAGCCATTTAATCCATTGAATCTGTTCGTTTAGCACTGCAGTCACTGTGGAGACTTGTTAAAAGGTCTCAGCTCACTTACCTAGTACAAAATAAAACATAGAAGTTGTTGGCACTTGAATTTTAGCACCGTCAAATACATCTACATATTTATTTTTTTCTTTGTATTTAACATAAGTTAATAATGTATGGCTGTTTTATATATTTAAACTACATATTTGTTGCTCCCATGCGGCATTGAAATGTGTTTACAGAAAAGTAAATTGTATTGCCATTGATCGTATCATCTATGACAATGTGTTGACCTCTTTCACCTCTTACAATACAAAGAAGCCTTAAAATGTTAATATTTTTTAATGCTCCGATATTCACTTTTCTATTTCTTTAAATACGCTGTATCTGTAACCTTGACCCCGTTGTATGTGGCATGAACATGTCTTTGGTATTGTCAAATTTAACTAGATATCTGTTGGATACAAGAGGAATTAAACCTTGAAATCAGGAATGTAATTGGATTTTAGAAGGATTGCAAAAATAAACATTTGAAAAAGTGCCCTGACAAAAGAAATGCTGTCACTGTCTTTGTATTGCACAGTAATCAAGAGACAAATGTGCTGGTACAGTAGAGGCTGATGGAAGCAGGTGATACAGAAAACGCCTTACATAAAGCTTCTTGGTGGTTGTACATTTGTCTCAGTGGTATTATGGTAGGGGTCACTGAAGATGTGAAGCTGGCAGAGGCCCCAGACCATCATGGTTCATGGTGGTTTCACTCAGCTGGTATTGTGCTCATATGGTGAATACTAAATACTCATTGTTTGACCAGCCAATGGCCAGGTAGTGTCAGGGGGCCCTCTGGTGGATTTACCTTGCCATTAGTGATGAGGTTAACCCACATCTGGGATAATCGGTTTGATGTGGCGGTTACTTAAATGACATATTTATCATAATACAATTGTAAGGTGTTTACAGAAGAAGTCAGTCTTACTATTAATGAATGGCGGGTGTATGGAGATGAGTTGTGCTGTGTGTCGTTACTTGTTCTAAATCTGAAGATCTTGAATGCAAAATTCACTAAAGGTAGCTATTGTCTTAGCTACTCTTCATTATAAACATTTTAATTTGTAATGTTTATCTCATTCAAAATGGCAAAAAGATTTAGTCTCAAATTTAATTTATTTCAAAATTGGTTTATAAATAAAGCAGGATACAAAAATAAAAACCAACATGATAATTGAAATTGCATTAGTAGTCTGTATGTTGTAACCCAGGTAATCACTGACTTTTTAATATGACCCATGGGAACCACACAGTAAAATGTTTTAATATTTACAGTATATGTTTGCAGAAACACTGATGGGTCTTGAAATAGCAATGCAGAAACATTTAGAAGTTCAAATGATCGCTCAAATATTAATGATTCTGTAAATCATTCAGCCCACAAAGAACCCTGTTTTGGTGGCGCTCACCCCAGAAATACATTGGTGTAGCTGCTCTCTCTGTTTCTGAGGTGAGCTGCTTCCCTGACCGACCGAGGAGCTCTGAAAGAAACATGTTTCCCCACTCTTTTCCTCATTGCTTTGGACAGTGTACCTGTCAGTCAGTGACTTGATGCAGTGTGAGAGCTATATGGGAAGGTTTGTGCTTGGTGGTGGCGGTGGGGTTTCTGTGTGGCGTTCAGCTGTGTGAACAGTAGCTCCCCCATTACTAAATAAAGAGAATCACTTTCTTTTTTAACTGTTCTTTTTATAGAGCCTTTGGAATATTCCAAATCCTTAGTATAATCTTCCCTCGCATGCTTTTACTGAAGGACTTCAATGGACAAGTAAACTTCCCCTTTAATATTGTTTGTATTTTCAATGGGTCATTACGCCGCATAGTCATTTTCTTGTAGACCATGTACAGTACACTGATCAGCCATAACATTATGACCAAAATCTTGGTAAGATGTACTTTTATTATACTTATTATACCTTTTGTTTGGTTAGTTTATTTTAGGGTAATTTAAAGTTAAATGTCTTTGTAATTATGTCATATTGCATGTTTCCAGAATTCATTCCTACTATTTTATAATTTGTCATTTTACCTGCTGCAATTAGCAGAATTATTTATAAAATGTTGTTAAACTTTGTTTGTTATCAGTTTAAAATATCTTGCTGGTAATTTTGTTGCTTGGTGAACCAGAAGACAGTGTAACCGCTGTGCTTTCACATGTACAGTACCTCATACTATTCAACAGTTTGGTTTTGTTATGAACTAGAACCTGAACAGTCTGTTACTGATATCATGTGGCCTCAGTAAAGGATAAACTAAGATTTGTTTTAGATTTGTTTTGACTACCGATTATAGAGAACATTACAATGGCTGCAAATCTAAATCCCACTTGGGTGTTTTTGTAAGTATGTAAATGAGCACGAATCACCCCAAGGCAATATAATCAGATTAGTTTTTCAACTATATCACAGCAGCTTTGTTCCTCTGATTGGATCAGCAGGTATCATGCTGTCAGTTCCAGAATATCACTGCGTCCGGTGCCTCACATGTTCCAAACTTTGCTGAGTGACCAGCATTAAGTAAAGTTAACTGACTTTGGGTGAGGCTAAGCTGATCCTGGATTTTTACTTGTGTTTAGAGTGGCTTGATGAAAATCAGTTGGTTATGTTCTCCCCCCTTGATCCGTACACATACAGACATTCTCGCTGAGCGCTGGCTGCCTCTGCTGCTGCTTTATTGTGTTCCTGGTCGATTAGCCTCGGGGCTGTCTTCAGGGCCTGGGGCCAGTGGGAGCAGATAGGGGGGAGGGCGGGTGACTGCATCTGCTAGGGTACCTCCTTCAGGGGCCCCACTGTGGCCTGGCTCGGTTTTCATGCCTGTCTTCAAAGGCACAGCCCCGTGGAGAGAGAGAAAACGGAAGACAGTTCATCGACTGTGATGCTGCCATTATTTTCCCATGTGCCCTCAGTCACTGTACAATATCTGGGGTGATGGGCTATGTCAACACCGAGCTGCTTTTCACTTCTCTATAGGCCATCAGATATGCAAAATGTTGACATTCAGTGATTTTTTGAAGCATTCTTGTCTTTTATCATTTTAATTAATTACATTTTTTTGGCAATTTCTGGCCTATGTTGTTGATAACTTGATTGTTATTTATCTTGGTTTAATATTAACCAAAAAACCCTACTCAAGTTGATTTTAAGATTACATTTGTCTGGAGATTTTTTTTTGTGATATATTAGTCAAATTATTCAATAGCCTACACTGTTTCCATGGCCTACAGTAGTTTACAATTTATCTTCAAAACAAAAGCTGCAATATCCGATCTTTACATTTAGAATAAACCCTGGCGTGCACAGCTAATTAAGATGCTGATTAATGGTCATAACTTTGGATTTGATGATGCCCGTGCTATGCAGGACGAGACAGCATCATCTCCCCTTGGCTGTAGCTCCTCCTGG